GCTGACCACTGCCCCGCCCCCCAGTGCCGACTCCCATCTGGGTTTTGACTGCCCAGTCCTCCCAAGGCTTCCAACAGAGACGTCTTCATGTACAGCTGGGGAAATAAAACAGAGTGAGAGGATGAATCAGTGCTTTAATAGAAGGTTCCTGTGCAGGTTTGGGGGGGGGGGGGCAGGCCAACGCCCTCTGCAGTAAACAGGGGCAGGTTTCCACACATCCGGCCAGCCCCTCCACTCATTAGCAAGAACCATGCTCAGTAAGATCTCTGGATTTTATCTGTACGTTAAAGATAAATCCGATGTTCTTTTATGCTTTATGCACCTTTGTATTTATGCAGGAATATTTAACGGTAGACAAAAGGTGACTTTTTCGCTATTCATCGGGGGACACGGCGAGCGAGGCTGACATTTTAGGTTTTTGCCAACACTAGCAAAAGTATATCAGCGCCATTGTAAATCAATGAAGGAGAATCATCGCCCACAAAGGAATTAAATTGCCTTGTCACTTTAATAAGGCCACCCTATACACAACCTTCACCCGGCTCTGTTGCTGGGTGCAAATGAAAAGGGGACATCGCCTCCTACAGGTCCACAGGTTGAAGTCCAATCGTCCAATAACGTCCATCTTCCATTAATGACCTGACGCAATTTAGCGCTACCTCAAAATCTCACACAGCTTCTATTTTTATTTTTTCGTTACCCCACTCGCTCCCCTTCAAAAACTATTCATACATTAATAAAAGTGCATCAATTCTGGCTGCATAATAATCAAGTAAAATTCAATGAGATCTGAGACAATTCCTGGCGTGCTTATTTCATAGGAACAGGAACTGCGTGGGGTTACAGTCCTGTGAATACGTACAGAGGATCCAGTTCCAGAACTAGGATTTTTTATATATATATATATATATATATATGTTTTTATATTACACACAGCCGTGTAAAAAATTGAGACCACAACACAATTTTGGTTCCCCTCATTTCTTTATTTATGGGTGTGCGTCTGTGAATAACGTATTTTTTTTGCTAACTGCAGCCTGGTTCTTCTGCTGAGGGTCAGGTGGTGAATCATTTCACTCAGGAAAAGACCCCCCCCCATATGAAGATGGCCGCTCCAGCTGCTGAGGACTTTGTCCTCATGCAAGTACCTACTGGTTGGTGTTCTCCTTCCAAACGTCACCCTCACCTTCACGCACATTAAAGGAAGCCACATCATTCCGACTGGATCATCGTCAGCGTCGTTGACGCCCTGAGCTTCTCATTCCGGTTCATTATGTCCCATTATGAAGTGATGCCAGATACTGGGCAACATCAGACAAAACCAGCGTATTATTTAAAGCAAGCAATCAACCTCAAAAAGGTGACACAAAACTATAAATAAATAAGTAAACAAAATTAGAGCAGGTTCCTCCAGTGTCATGTCTTCCATTGAAATGGGCAGCATGTGAAAACGGCACCCCCTCAAGGCATGAGGCTTCCTGGATTTGGACCCAACCTGCCTCCATCCCTTTTCCATGACACACGTTATCTATCGCCAGGATGTCCACTCAGCCACAATGGAGAAGGGGGGGGGCAGGGGACACAATGGAGGAATTAAACACCATGGGATTTTGGGTCATCTCGCGCCAAGCCTACTCTGGGCACGGATGCAAAGAATCTCCGTCACGGTAATTCGCATTGCACAAAAGACCGTTTGTCGCGCTGTAACTCGGTATAGAACATTCCGGAATGTGGGTCATTGGAAACACCGGACACCTTTCAGATCCACAGTAGACCCTTTGAGGAGTCACCTGACAGTAAAATTTACATTAGAAAAATCGTTGGAACACAAGAGTAACCAATAACTGATAATTAGAGATAAACAGAAGAGTACATCTGCAGTGCTAGAAGAGGGGTATGATGGCAGGGAAGGTGTGGTCAACCTTGGGGCTTTTGGTTTCTTTTGTAACTGAAACTTCTTCCAGTCTAATTTTCTTTCAGACCTGTTTGGACCAAGAGAAGATGGACTCCAAAACAGACAAAATTTAAGACACGCAGAAATCGTGCTTCTTTGTCAGACTTACCCGAGTGTTAAATCTTCCTATTATTTCCTATAATGTCTAGCAAAAAAGGTGAAACAAAAAAATAGCATGTGGATTATTACGCATAACTAGCGAGCTTTGTTGCAAAGCTGTTAAAATTTCAGGCAGCTATCTGGCCACCTTGACATTTATAACCAGAACGAGGACCCCAATTAGGATCCACAGTCACACTGAGACAGATTCGGGTGTGAATGGCTTTATTAGTAGAGTGTAAACTCTGCTCTCTGGGCACAGAAGAATAAAAGATAAGAAAAAGAATTAAACATTTCTGTCCATCACTGTTCAAATTCATACATAATTGAGAGATATTATTATATAGATTGGGTTAGAGGAGTCAAAAGGAAAATCCACACTATCACAGTCTGTTTTTCTGTAGACAGATGACCTTTAAATACATAACTTAAGGAAACTAAAAAGAACTTGTTTCTTCTCATGTTGTATCTTCCACGAGTACACTCTCTACATAAATGTTTCTCAAACCAGGCCTGAGGAACTCGCAGACAGTCCACGTTTTTGCAAAAATGGAAGGGAGCTGGGACCGTTTTGGGGGCCCTGAGGACCGAGCTGGGACCGTTTTGGGGGCCCCGAGGACCGAGCTGGGACCGTTTTGGGGGCCCCGAGGACCGAGCTGGGACCGTTTTGGGGGCCCCGAGGACCGAGCTGAAGAACACTGCTGTAAATGGAGTTTGACAGTTTCTGTAAGACGCCCCCAAGCTTAAATTAATCAGCCAAGTCATTTGTATTAAAACAGAAACCATGTCATTTTTATTTAACGTTAAAAGGTCAACGTTTCTCTATCACTACTGCTCAAAATAGTGAAGGAAAAATTCAAAAGGATACGTTATCCTCCACTAAGGATTCCCACACTCACAAAGACATTTAAAAAAATGAGGTAATTATAAAAAAAATTAAATAAAAAAAAAACTTCTTCAAAAACACAAACATTCCAGGAATTACTCTTCCAGTTTTATTTCAGGTTCAATGAAGAGAATTAAGAAGTTTTCCCAAGCTTCTGAAAGACTCAACTTGAGCTGGTCAGGGCATCTGAAATGCCTGGAGACCAGGAGAGAGGTCAGCTTCATGCCAGATGAAGGTGCTCCTCTCTCGCACGCCCTCTCACAGTCACCCTCCTTCCTTGGAAATGAACCTTGGGGAAAAAATGTACTGAGGACCATGCTACCGAATGTCGCGAAGGAAACGAAATCTGAAGGATGAAATGACACGATGGCCAGGCTGCAGACGACGCATCCCCCCCCCGCCCCCGAGCCCACGTGATGCGGAATTATCACTTCACCGTGGTTCTTTTCACAGCCGTCAGCCAGTGAAACCAGTTCAGTCCACATCTCATTGGGTTAGCAGGCCAGAGCGACCTGAATGGGCCTCAGACCACATCTGCTAAAAATGGTCCCCCTCCCTCTTGTGTAGTTTAAGAAAACCACCACAAACAAACCTAAAAACCGACATACACAGTTTTACAAATTGGTCTCATCCCAAGGGTCATTCATGTTCTTCAGCACTTTCCTCACGATCTTCTCGAGTTCCTTGCGAGCTCTCTGCTCCTCATCCAGTGTCCTTCTCATCTTCTTGTTATCCTGTTCAGAGCAGAGCAGGGAAAAACCTGAGCACAAGCCTGTGGTTCTGGAGTCCTCTCCCCAAGCGGTCCAAACCCAGCGCTGGACCTCAGCTCTTTGACCCAGATGTCTCAAAATAGCAGACCTACCTGCTTCAGTTCCTGAACTTCATCTTTCAATGCATAGACCGTGTCCACCAAGCTCCTAAAATATGAAAAGAATTTGGAGGAAAGTGAAAAAAAGTCAGGAACCAAAATGTTTGTAAAGTAAACCCAACCAACACTATAAGATAAGATAAAGATGTCAAATAGGTCACAATCATATGATACACAACAGCCATTAAGCCCGAAAGACTTCATCTTCCATTAGTGTCTGCGACCTAAAAGATGACCCCTGGATTCCTGCTATGAAACCATTTCAGAGTCTGAAGTTAAAAGTTCCAAAATAAATGACAGGATGTGATGTAAGAGGATGAGGTGGGGAGAGCCAGAGGCCAGGTTTCAGTCTGAAGCTGGGTGCTCCAACACTGAGACATACACCTGGTGGACAGATAGGGGGCAGTCTTACTTCTCCTCCATCACCGCCTGACCGTTGCTCTTGATCTCCTCCACAATCACCTTCTCCTCTTCTGGAAAAAGCATGTGTAGCCCAGACTCCTTTCTATTCCCTGTTTTGAAACAAAAGCCGCAGTTTGGTTTAAGGCCATCAGAGACGGATCGATTAAACTGACTGATGTGATTGTTTGGTTGATTGACTAATTGATTTGAAGGGGCATCACCCAGCAGGAGTGAGAGTGGATAATGACAGGCTGATGTAAGTCCTTGTAGCTGACTGGGGACCAAGTGGGTAGAATCATAAGCTAGATAAACTGAAAAAAAATGAGAGGGTCATTAAGTGTTCAGCTCCCTAAATAAGAGTAAGTGGATCACCTGAATAAAAATGTTACTGGAAGAGAGTTCAGGTAAAAGGTAAGATTTTGGTACTGAAACTGTCTGACATGAGCCGGCTATCACGTTTTTACTATTAGCAATGGAAATTTTAAATAAATACAGGTCTATGGTCTATTTAACGTGTAAATGTCCAATGAAATCTACAGCTAAAATGTGGGCATAATATGTTGTGGAGATTTAAGATGCAACCTCATAATACCAAAATGAACAGATTACAGAGAATGCAGGATTCCAATACAGATAAAGCCCAAAGAAACAGAATACAGTAATAAATCTGTAAAATGAAACCAACATACAAGCAATAAAAGAAATACCAAAAAAAATAAATTCATTAATTCCTGTCGATTTGCAGAATAAGACTAACAAATAATGAAATGACAAATCATTAAAATACCACGTTCTAACAAATGAAAAAAATTTATTTAAAATTTTATAATACAATGGGTAATGTAATACATGTCTATATGTCTATATCAAACATTCAACATTATCATTCAACATCATATGCAGAATGAACAATACACACATTTCACAATAAATATCCACAATTCAAATTTATATTAACACACACGAAATGTAAAAAGGCAGCTACCAGGCTGAGACTCTTACTTGCTTTTTAAACCAGAGAGTACATTTCAGTCACAAAAAAAAATATTGCACAATAGTAAGACCATTTTGCTCTCAACCATAATGCTTAACACTTTACGGTTCATCAGGGAACTGTCCTCGGCCCCAGTACTTTCACAGAAACCTTGGGGGAAAAGTCCAGCCTACACTTTCTCCTGCCTTCCAGATGGTCTGCTGGGTAACCGGGTAACTCAGCAGCACTGTGGGACTCCCCAGAGCAACAGACACGTTCACACACTAACCTCACAGCACCCGCGTCACCGGCGGGAAGCCGAACCGCCTGGAAACACAGTGCAGTAAGAAGGTGAACTGTGGGTGGAAACAACAGGGAGCAGACCATATGTTCCTGGCTTGCAGGTAAAAAGAGAATCTGGCAGCACAATCCACCAAGCCCTACATGAACACAGTGCAAGAGAGCAGCACAAATGACTTTGGTTCCACAACATTTGGTGCGCGTCCAACCATCGCCCGCTTAAGCTCCCACAGCAGTATTCCTCTGGCCTCGCAAGATCAACTGTGAAATGCGATTATCTTCCACCCCAAACAGAACAGATAGAGAGACAGTGCGTCATGTGACCAAAGATGTTAAAATTTGTACTAATTGTTTTGTGAAACTAACAGAACCATGACCACACCTTCCCCCCCACCCCTGACTGTTAATGGCCAATGTACATTTATGGCCCTCTGTTCAACTCAAGAGGAAGACTTTATATTTGATCGTTTTCAATTCACACAAAAATCAATGAAATTCCTAAGCCTGTGCAAAAACACACATATCAAAATTAAGCAGCATCAATTCACAATAAATAAATGCTAATATCAAATGAATATTAAATGAAAGCAAGGAAGAAATATATACAACAGCCTGAAATAATATGCCGGAAATGGCCAGATATATCTTAGGCCCACGTTGTCTAAGCTGTCTGTGAAGATAAAGCAGGGAATAGATGTTCAGTAAATGGCCAAGACATATGGGCAATGTTACAATCGAACGGAGATGCCATGGTTCACTCTTTAAAAGTTGTTGACGCTGTTCCTGAAATCTGTCATTGGCAGAGATCATGTCACAGAACCATCAGAATCAGACCCTTTATAAACACCCAACTATAAAACTGCAGCTACCATTAAAACACTTTACAGACTTTTCTTTGATCCAATTCTTCCAGTTCTTTCTGCCTCGTTCTTTCCAGAACGAGGCAGAGATGCCTGAGTGGAACGTATCAGAATGGTCTACATATATCCATTGATTTCCCCGACTGTAAAAATATTTCCGACTCTTGCTGTAACAAAGCTTCTCTTGGAAAATGGAGAGTGTAGACAGTCCCTTCCTCGGGTGTGTGTCTACCCTCTCCTCCAAATCACCCCGACGTTTGAGGATTAATGCTTTTGGCACAAGTAACAGTTGAGTTCCCGCTAACTGGAGCTGACAGCCAACAAGTTATAAACACATTTACACGGGACTTTGGAGTGTGTCTGACTCAGACGTCCGTTTTTTTTCCTGACAACAGCTTATTTTTCGCTAAAATGTAACTGTCACTTTAAGGAATTTAGGTTTAAAAAAAAAAAAAAACATAAGCACACACAGACACATACAAAACAGTCAAAAATATACATCCAAAGGCAATGCCAAAGTAAAAGTTGATGTCTAAATCAGCCCTGCACTCGACTGATCTTTAAGTTTGAGGTACCAGAAAGACGTCATGGCAGGCTCTGGAATGTACGCAAGTGTAATTAACGTCTGTTGGGGGGGGGGCAACTCGGATGTTGAGATTGGACATGTCCCAGGCCTGTCGGCACGACAGCACGCAGACATACACAAATTAAATTACATTCTTTCGCTATTACTATCATTTTATTTTTGTATAACAAAGGAGAATTAAAGCTAACTACAACGGATGAACTGCGTACTACACAGAGGAAAAAAAACAGCATGTCGCTCGCTCACGTATGACGCTCAGACACCAAGGGACTCATTTAGCAGAATGGGGCCTCTCCCTCCAAGCTAAAGCGTATCTGAATATCAGACATTTCTGCTCCGCTTCTCTAGACACACCCCCCTGTCTGTAGACCAAGGGCACAGCGGAGCAATTAAATATACGAGGGCTAGACAAAGGCATTGCAGACAGGAGGGCGTCAACGTGGAGAGGGATCAGTTGAAACAGGTTAAAAACACCAGTTCATAAATAAAATAAATAGAAAATACCTTATGTACAAATGAAAGGAAAGATAAAGGAGGGCGGGGTTTCAGTTCTGGTGGGAGATATAGGAGCAGCAGCTCTTTCGAGATGAGGCACCAATCCTGTAACTGTGGGCTGCCCATATACTGTCATAGTCGGAGTCTTCGGAGAGGTCAGAGGTCACGTCAGCCCGGGAAAGGCTGCTACGGCAGCCCAGAGAGTCCATACTAGACTGGTCGCAGTCCGCCAGAACGTGATTGTGCATCAGATCAGTACCCTGCCATGCTGTTTGGAGGAGGTCGGGGGAGGGAATAAGGGTGGGGGGCAAACCATATAAAAATGGAGAATTGGGGTGTTGGGTGGCGGGGCATGACGTATGGACAAGGATGCATATGAATATTAAAAAAATACAAAAAAAAAAAAAAGATATACATGAAGCGCAAACAAAGGTATTAAAAATTAAGACATGATGTGTAGAACCCAGACAAAAAGTTTTCATAAATAAATAAAAAGAATAAACAGAATGAAGCAAAGGAGAGGAGGGGGAAAAGAAAGAGAGAAAAATATAGTTAAAAAAGAGGGTCAATAACAACAGGAATTTATACAGCAATAGACAGCAGACTGAGCAGGAGAGCCTGTGCAGCTTGGGCTGGGGGCAGGGCCTTAGGGCAGAGCCCCCAGGCCAACCAATGAGTGAGGCTGAGCTGCACACAGGCGGGCTGGGGGCAGGGCCTTGGGGCGGGCCTTAGGGCAGAGCCCCCAGGCCAACCAATGTGTGAGGCTGAGCTGCACACAGACAGGGGGGATTTCAATCCCGATGTTAGTACAGAAACAGCAGGACAGAAGAGGAGGAGAAGAGAGGTGGAGGAGTGTCATCTTGGGGTGACAGGGGGTGACAGGGGGGCTTGGGCTCCCCCTCTCCAGGAAAGCAGGTTTCTACCCAGCTGAGACAACAAAACTTCCTATTTTTTAACCATTTTTTGTAAAAACATCTTTCATTAAAAAATAATATAAAAAAACAACTCAATGCTACCCATCAGTTATTGCTGGACTTACTGATAAATGCCTTCCTCTGATAAACGTGTCCAACTGAAACATTAGAGGCAGTAATTATCAAACTGACATAGAAAACTGATAACGGGCTTTAAGGCAGCCTTCTTGAATAAAACAGCACCAGCCAAACACCTTCTGTAAGCCGCTCGGTCCAGTTAACATTCACGGGTCAGAAGGTCGACCCGAATGGGCCTGCAGCACCTCCAGGGTCTGGAGCTCATGCTGTGCGTGACACGGCGACTCGCCCCGTGCGGCCATCACAGGGAGGGTACCCTCACTTACTTGAGTTGAGCGTCTGCCGGGTCTTGGCGCTGGTACAGTACGCCTCGATCACTTTCAGGATCTGCGCGTCCTCCTCCAAAGCGGCTGTACCTGGGGGAGGGGAAGCATTAGCAGCACGTAACAAGGCCCAGTGTAAATATAACCTTGATTCTCCTTTAATTCATTTCTGCACCTTAAAAAAGTACTGTTACCTACAGCTAAGGGTACAATTTGCAGACCCTTGAGGGTACAGCCCCTGTGATAAATAATTGTACCCTCAAAGGGTACAAACTGGTACTTTTTTCCTGACAGTATAGGAATAGATTGAAAGCCGTAGAGCTAATTTATGTGGCTTACCATATCCAGCCTGAATATACAGTGCACAGTATGTACTAAGAAGAGTCAAAACAGGCATCATTACTGGTCATCTAATGGCGATATACTGGGTGATGTTTCCTTGAATGATTTCTATCAAGGAGGGAACATGGAACATTAACAAATTATTAAAGCTAAACAGTATTTTAAAACGGTAAAGGAAAGTATGTAGTGTTTGTTTTGTGATTTTTGGTTCTTTGTAGCTTTGTTTTATTTCAGTTCATGTTATAGTTGTAGCTTTCGTTAAGGATGGTAACCATGTTACTCACTCTTCCTCTGTGCAAACTCCTCATCGGACGGCTTCCTCTCCGGCTTCCGCTTGGGAAGCAGCTTTTTCATGCTTTTAGGGCTTTTGCTGAGGTCCTGGGAGGGAGGAAGCTGACTTTAATAACAGTCAGTCTGCTTCTATATCAAACATGCATTGCTGTTGCTATGTGCCCAGCTCTGGACCTCCCCACACAGCCCCGCCCACCACAGCAGCTCAGCCCCACAGGCCCCGCCCACCACAGCAGCTCAGCCTCACACAGCCCCGCCCACCGCAGCCCCACAGGCCCCGCCCAATCTGCAAAGCATTCACGTACCTCCTTGTACGACAGTGCCGCGGAGGGCCTCAAGGGGGGCGCGGGCCGCAGGCAGCTCAGGCTCCAGGGTTTGGGGGTCTTGGGGGGCTCCAGGGGACCCCACATGGGGTTGCTGTGAGGCGGACCATGTGAGGAGTGGGGGAGGGTGTGGTAGGCCGGGGCCAACGTCGCGCTGCGACTATCAGAGAGCCTGGAGGGGGTGCCGGGGTGCGAGGGCAACTTCAGGGGACCCAAAAGGCGGAGGCATGATGTCAGTGCACCTCTCAGATGGATACTGACACAATACACACCCGGTGTTTCACTACAACTTAGGTTAAGGGCTTGAAACTGCATCCCAAAGGATGGGATTTTCAACCCTAAACTACTGAGTCAGCGGTTATGAAAGCGACCTTCAGAGATCAACGTGCCGCTTTTTGCTTCCTCGCTGGCACATGGCTGCATTTTTTCAGCGCGACACTATTTCCACGATTCAAACTGGCTGACTCACCGTGTGGCAGGGAACCGGGGAGGGCCTTGCGTTAGGCGTCGCCATGGAAATGAGCTTGGTCTGGCGCTGAAGGTGATCCAGCCACTCCTGCCTGTCCTGCAGGCTGCTGCAGGTCACCTGGATCCTGTCGATCATGCCCCCTGCAGGCCGGCCGTGGGATGACAAGCTCAGACTGAGAAGAACACAGACCCTCACAGGTTCGAGAACTTGGCAAGCTAAAGGGGACGGCCTGCAAGATCTTACAAATTTCAAATCATAAAGGCTAACATAAAATTTAACCTCTACTAATAAAATGCATATTATAATTTAAACACACACACACACACACACACACACACACAAACAAGGCCCTTATACTTTATTAGCTGAAAGAAAAAAAAAAACATCAAATCACAGTGAAAAAAACAATATATGGATAATCTGCTAAATTACGGATAAAAGACCAGAATTTAATTGCGATTTAAAAATGCCTTGAGGACTGGAAACAGTGAAATATGTAGGTGTAGAGGGCAGGAACCGGATCTCATAAGAGGTCCAATGTACAGCTCATTAAACATGTATATGAACCCTAACCCTACGTCCCCAACAAAGGCAACAAAGGCCAATTAGCAGCTGCTAGACATCAGCACCGGGTTACTTGTCTGACATCGTCGATTTTGATAATACCGTCATATCATAATGCAACTGACCACGTACCCGATATTTCAAAGGCGTTTTTGTGGGTTTCGCTGTCGTCCAGCTTGGAGACGGTCATGCCAGTCAAGGGCAGCTTACCCTGAATAAAGGGAAGGCATCAGGATCTTATCTATAGCGATGAAGCGTAGAAGTATGGGGTGGCGGGGCGGGGGGGCGGGGGCACACACCTGGTAGATGAAACCGCTCATCCTGGGGCTGGCAGACAGCAAGAGAAGCACATGGGGGAAAAGCAACAGGTAACGCTCACTTTGCTCCTGCAAAACAGCGGCAGCAGCTGTCAGTATGAGGGGAACAATCAGGGAGAGTGAGAAAGTAACTTCAGGAACTGCATCATTGGGCATAGGTGCTGCCGTAAGGCCTGCCGTAAGGCCTCACCTCGCGGCCGTAAGGCCCCACCTCGTGACCATAAGGCCTGCCGTAAGGCCTCACCTCGCGGCCGTAAGGCCCCACCTCGCGGCCATAAGAATGCCGTAAGGCCTCACCTCGCGGCTGTAAGGCCTGCCGTAAGGCCACACCTCAGGGCCGTAAAACCCCAACTCGCGGCCGTAAGGCCTGCAGTAAGGCCCCACCTCGCGGCCATAAGGCCTGCCGTAAGGCCCCACCTCACGGCCATAAGGCCTGCCGTAAGGCCCCACCTCGTGACCATAAGGCCTGCCGTAAGGCCCCACCTCGCGGCCGTAAGGCCTGCAGTAAGGCCCCACCTCGCGGCCGTAAGGCCTGCAGTAAGGCCACACCTCGGGGCCGTAGGGCCTCACCCCGTGACCATAAGGCCTGCCGTAAGGCCCCACCTCGTGTCCGTAAGGCCTCACCTCGCTGCCGTAGTTGTTTACCACAACCTGGGACATGTAGATCACCCCTCCCAGGGTACGGATGTCCTCGCCCTCCCAGCAACGGATCGTCTCGTTCAGGATCTGCAGCTCCAGCTCCTTCCGTTTCCGCATCTCCTGGCAGTGAGCCTGTCGCCGTGGTAACACAGGTCCTCATTCAGACGGCCCCATCCGATCAGCCACTGATGTACGGTTTGTTTATATGCAAATACCAGTGGCCTCTTTAGCACCTCTGAAGAGCGTCATCATCATTAGTAGAAACTGAGATCTCATTCTCACTGCTTCCGGCCCTAAATCTGCTGCCCCAGAGCCGAGCCACCCCACCCCGTTATCATTCTCTGCCTCTCCTCTCCTCTCCTGCTTTCCTTGGCTGAGCAGGCGGTCAGCTAAGTGATCATCGCCCCCCTTGTGCAATCTGAGGTATAAATCGCCCGTTCCGGAGAGAATGTGAGAGCACTGTAGCACTGCGGTCAGAGTAGGTGGGGCTGGTGCATCAGTGTCAGAGGCTAAATTAAACAGCAGAGCCCCTGAAAGGCTGCTCGAAGAAGCTCAGCGATTAGCACAAAGCTTGCGGCGGGGGTGGGGTATAAGCTCATAGGTCCTGCTGCTTAACAGGCCCAGAGCCCAACGGTTTTGGCAGGAACTACGAAGCGATAACGACCCGTTCACACATAACGGGATCCTGCTACAGTGCTTGGGCATGGGACGCCTAAGCAGGCGGAGAGATTCAGGAACCCATTTCACTCAGGGTCATGGGGGAAGGGGACCCAGATAAGCGACGCACACACCCATGCCCTTTACAGCTCAGGGTGAGGGAAAGGCAATCAGTCTGTCCAACTTTAAAATGATGCTACTTGCACTGACTGTGTGCACCCAGCAGGGGGCACCATTGTGCTGAGTGAAGAATGGGAAAGTCAACTTACCGAGAGGTTTTTGAATGAGTTCATGCACTTCTGAATGTCTGGCCGGTCAAGGTGGTACTCCTACAGACCAGGAGACAAGGGGGCGATGTAACCACTGAGATTCACACGCGTGTGCAAATAAACAGCAGGCAGTTTACACTCGTTACATCATTACACTCATCAGAGACTTTTATCTTGAATGACATACATGTTTTATAAAAGCAGAGCAAGACAGTCCCTGGAGGAAGGGGAGGTCAAGGCCCCCACTCAAGGGCCCAGTGGTGATGTCACTCTACGACCCTGGGATTCGAACCAGCGACATTGTGATCGCAGACACAGAGTCCTCACCCACCGACCCACACGCCACCCCCCCGGCTCCATGTGATTCCAGGACAGTTAGGCTGTAACCGCCCGCCCCCCCCCCCTCACAGACACATATCCCCATCAGTGTGGCAGCAGCAGAAGCCACCCCCCCCCTCACCTCCATGTGCCTCTCCAGCTCCTTTAGCAGGGTGGGGTACTTGTCCAGTCGCATGAAGGGCTTACTGAGGCCCGTGGTGAGGGTGAGGATACCGGGACGACTGGCCCCCCTGCTCTCCATGAAGTCCCCCAGTTCCTCGCTGTGGCGGACAGAATCAGAAAGAAAATGACAATCTGATCGGACTTTACACAGGATAAACATGAACCACTGGCATATAGAACGTGTACTGAACAATATGGCGCCGACGATGATAATATGAGTATTTTATAGTGTTTTTATGCTTTACTGGATGGATAAGCACCAGCCACTTTGGGCTCCACATTCCCCACCGATATCCATATGTACCAGTCAAAAGTTTGGACGCGCCAAGCCGCCTACAAAGGACAATGATAGTGTCACATCACATGACCTGCCCACCTGACCTAAACACAGTAGAAATGGTTTGGGAGGAGTTTGACTAGAGAGTGAAGGAAAAGCAGCCAATGAGAGCTCAGCACAAACGTGGGAGCTTCTTCAGGATGGCTGGAAAAGCATCCCAGAAAGCCGCCTCATTGAACTGGAGTAGAGGGGACTGCAGGGTCAGCCAGTCCCTGGAGGAATTGGGGTTAAGGGCCTTGCTCAAGGGCCCAATGGTGGCATCACTCTGCTGACCACGGGATTTGAACCAGCAACCTTCTGGGTCCCAATCCACAGAGGTGCTCCTCCCCACTACAAAAATATATTTTTTTGGTCATTGCATTTCCATATATGTTATTTTATAGTTTAAACGTCTATAATTATTCTAAAAATGTAGAGAATACTTCAACAAAAACCTTTCTATGGGTATGTCCAAACTTTTGACTAACATTAATTTAATTTATATTTATGTCTGTAAGAATGTATATTTATGTGCGTAAGGATGTGATAGTGTAGACACTGCATACATGGCGATAAATCGGCTGAATCTTTTTTGCAAAGGACAGACGGTACCTGTGCTGGGTCAGAACGCTGACAGCAGAGGGGTGATTAGCGCAGTACGTCACATAGAGCTTCCGCATCTGAGAAATGAGGTTCAGGAAGAAGCCGCCCAGCCTCTGCTGGCTCTCTGGAAGCCTGCGAGTGAATGGGGGAGAGAGAAAGGGGGAGGGAGAGACGGAGAGGGGGAGACAGAGAGGGAGAGAGAGAGTCACACAGATACACAAACAAAAGTGCTCCATTAAAAATTCAAAAACCAAAACAGAAGTTTACAGAGAACAGCACAAAGAACAAAAAACAAGCAGCCAGTGCCCAGTCTATTGGCAAAGACACCTTGTTAATAAGAGAAGTCAAAGGAGAATGGGCTCGATAAACCTAACAGCAAAGGCACGAGTGTCACGAATGACAGCTTATTACAGCACTGTGTGCAGAAACTCACAGAACACAACACTTTAAGCACTAGCATGGTGCACCTATTAATGTAGCCACAGGGTGTATCATGTTTTCATAAACAGTGACAGCACATCCATGATGCACATCCAGGTCCAAAGTGTTCGCCCTTCCTAGGTGTGACCAGTAATGGATCGTGGTTATTGGAGATGCAGAAAAAATACTGAGGACTTGACCTCAGTGACCTCAATGGTAGATACAGTCACATATACACCTGTTTTTAATGCCTAACTGGGATAAGTTCTTGTAACATTGATGGATATTGTCCTGTTCCACGTACCACCTGAATACACGGCAGCAGTTGTATTCCTGCCTCTACAATGATACGGTAGCAATAAGTTGCAGTAACCAAATCTGCCACTAGATTGTACCGCAACCTCACATATCAGCCATCAGTCGCAAACAGCACTTTGGAGAAGCTGCTTCCAGCTCAAGCAATTTAGGGCGTTAACTTATTATTCAGTAAATCGCTCCGGAAAACAGTCTTATTGTGAACTGAGGAAGTCCGAGGTACCGATTTTGCTTAACAGGGACACAAGTCAGGGGTGGGCGGGTATATTTAGTGCCTGATAAATCAGAGGTGAAAGGAACAAGGGACGTGCTGAGTCAGATGCGTATTTCCATCAGAGGCTAACGTTTCCCTGCAGGGAGGTTGGCAGAGTATTTTATCACCATAGCTGTGGGTGGGGCTTGATAACCAGCATGGCAGACTCTCCCCCAACACCCAATCTCCTCGGCTCCGCCGCACCCAGGCCACGCCAAGTCAGCGTGGATACCAAGGTTCAGGCCACGGTCAGTCTAACAGACGGGCCCGCACCTCCACTACTCATTGGTAATTTAAAAGGAGCCACTGTTCTTGGCCTTAGGCCTGTTGTCGTCTTCCGGCGAACGCGAGAAAAGGTCTCGGCAGCCATTGAGAGCACTGCACGCCCAGCACTGCACGCCCAGCACTGCACGCCCAGCACTGCACGCCCAGCACTGCACGCCCCCATCTGACGGGGATGTGGGCTCACCTGGTACGCTCCTCCAGGGACTGAAAAAGCATCTGCTGAAAGGTGCTGATTTCTTCCAGGTTGCCCATGATGTGGACAATGTCAGAGGAACTGAGCCTGAGGTGAAGAAGCAAGAAGATGGTTACCTGATAGGTACCAGTTCTGACAATTACCACTGCGTTTTAACACTGAGAAAGATTCCACTCCACTTACTTCTCTGTACTCTGCAGTGGGCGTAGGTAATTTGACAGAAGGTTCTGGAGCTCTTTAGAATACTCCGTTTCCGTTTCTAGAATGTTCTGTACCACCTAAAACAGAGACCAGCCAAAAGCTAATTTTAAGCTTCGGTCCCTCTCTGGTTTCTGCAAACACATTTAACTGCATTTCATCTAGTATGTAATCAGAGATAATGATATCATTTAAGCAGATGCATCATCGTTAAAAGGAAGCATAAAACAATGTCATGCGAAGTAACAATCTCAGCGTGAAGGTTAAATTACTGAAGGGAACTTGTGACCTACGCTGCCCCACAAAGGCAAAACACAGTAATTGCTCATTATATCAAAACTGAGATGGCTGAAACTATACTTGGTTTTGCAGAAAACATTGTGAAAGGTACAGGAACTACAAAATCCTCATTACGACCAATGCAAAGCATCCTATTTCTCCGTTTCAGTGTCAGCATAGTGATCTTTGTAGGGCAGCATAGCTGAGCTGGAACCTGGGCGAGGATACAGGAAACAGGCCAGACACAGCTCTGGGATCCTCTAGTGATGCCTGACTAACAAACAAGCGCAGACCGCAACCAGTTAACAGCGGAACAAAAGATCATCTCCTCCTCCCTCTACCAGGAGGAAAGAAAGACGGAAAGAAGGGAGAACAGAAAGCGTGCCAGCACTTGCTATGCCATCGGAAAGGGTTACATCCATTCAAAACCAGCGTTTACTAAACATGGTTTTCACCCTCATGTGCTCCTGGATACCTCAGTAAGACCACAGGCCTCAGAGACCATTAATATACCCACAATACAATCTAGGAATGTGAAGAACACATTTTTGCTTTTGGAAGTCTCCTTACACAAAGTGTTCTGAGGGCAGAATGAAAAATTATTGGTTTTTCACCAATCAGATTGTAGAGGAGGTGGGTCCAAGCAACTACAGCAGGCGGGACCAAGACATCTGATTGGTTGGTCCTGTCTCCTTTAGTTGCTTGGATCCATCATCTCTACAATCTGATTGGTTATCTCTCCGAATAATTTTTCATTTTGCCCACAGAACACTTTTGTGGAAGTAAAACTCCCATGAACCAGCTTTTTGGGACAGGACAATCAGGATATGAGACATTTAAGGAAGTTCTTCTGTGTAACAGCCCAAAAGCCTCCCTGAAGGCTAATACTGCTGTTCCTTATGTGATGCTGCAGCTCTCGGGGGAGGCCGTACTAACCAGGTTATAGTAGGTCTTGCTGATGCCGGAGGTGTCCGGCCCTTTGGGGGGGCTTTTGAAAGTCCCGGATTTGGGAGAAACCGGTTTGTCTGAAAGAGGAAGGGGAAGAGGAACCAACACAGGATATAGGTCAAAGGGTGCCTCTCCTATTTGTAACCAGATCACACCTCACTACTGCAACCCAGAGATCAACGTGCAGCATGTAAGCTCAGGGAAGAAGTCAGTCACGATTAGCAACGTGACACTGTAGTGTCTGGGTCACACTCACAGACAGACACTGAGGAACACCTGCAAGGCCACACACAGGTTCATTAACACACAATGCAGAAACAAACACATTTCCCATTTCCTATACGAACACCTGGGTGTGTCCCAGCAGGAACACGACTCATCTTTGTAGACCCAAGGCTTTCATGTCTATGAACCTTTGGACACCTCTTCATCTTCCATTAGAGGACCTCCGTCAGCTAGCGAACAAACACTCGGGGTAGAATCAATCGACCGTTAATCCTCTCTGTTACCCCCATTCCATTTCTCCCAGGAGGCAAAAATCTTTATTTGGAGCGAGTCAATGGATATAGAAGAAGTGTAACGATTATGGTTTGTGCCGTCTCTGGAGAGAACCTCCTCGTGGGGGTCGGAGCATTTCCGTTCTTTGTGTGGTGTGGGAATTTCCTTCCCGTTAGCCACACCACACTGACCCTCTGTCACACAGCTGCATGGCTCATGGTCCAAAGTCTGCCTTAATGCAAGACAAATGCTTCTGTAGGAACACCTCCAAGGTCACCACTGAGCACATTATGGGGTCAAATCTATCAGAATAGGACCTCCTAACAAAACATTTCATTGCTTTCTCCGGTGATTTCTGGAGAGATGTTACTGGTTGGACAATTGATACTGGATCCATGATGTTTGGTTTGGGCAGGTGACACATTGACTGAAGGACACCCTAAACCGCTTCAGATTCAACGTATTATCTCTCTGTCCAGTAATGTCCCATTTAAATTATTTTTAATAAAAGTTAATGGATATTTCTTACTCATTTTGTCAACCTATGTCATTATTTCTTTCCAAAACTGCACTGAAATTATCCACTGATAGAAGTTAAAATTTCAACTTCATCCTCAATTTTCTCATAAAAGCATACAAAAAAGGCCACTAAATTTGGCACCAAAACTGAGCTTGAAAAAGTTTTTTGGGCGATTTGTCTTATGTTAACCTTCAATTTTTACCTGACAGTAGCTAACACCAATTCGGCAGTATTCAGTCACAGTAACTGTAAAACATTCCACAACAGAAGCAGAGAATCACCATCTCAGATCCCCAAATCTCTGAGTATCTGCCCCCCCCACCACCCCCCACAGCGCACCTTTGGAGCCCCCGCTGCCTTTGATCTCCCGGACGTAGTTGCTGGGGAACCAGCCAGTCCTTCCATTAAGGGTTCCCTCCCACCAACCGCCATCCTCCATGCGTGTCACATGGATGATGTCAGCCTTGGAGAAGGAGAGCTCATCCTCATTGGTCTGCTGGAAGTTGAAGCGCGCCTTCACCGCCACCTGGCAAGTGCTGTTTTCCGTCATGTCCTACAGGGGGGGGGCAGGGAAAGGGACCATTTGATTACTAATGGTGCCCAAAAACAACCAGTTTATGATGCAAATTTCAGATGAAATGTTTAGTATCTAAGTTTCACAGGCTTCACTGACCACAGCTGATAAGTGCCAAACTTGGCTGTCATCTCCGGAAACATCTCCTAAACGGGCCGAGGCACTTACCAGACTGCGGTACTGGTTTGGGAATATCTTGGAGGACCGGCCAGCGGAGGGCTGAGAGGCCAGCACGTCGAAGGACTTGATGCGGTGCGAGGAGGAGCGGCGAGCGCATGTGGACTCGCTGCCCACCCCGAAGTCTGTTGGGGGGGGGGGGAACCACAGTTACGGGGGTCAGAAGCTCTGGGTTTCCATGCTCAGGCCTAAGATGACTACGAGACTCAATTTTGGGGTGGAGCATAACAACACTACCCAAACAAAACATGCCTGCATGCAGCAATAATTTAAAAATTTGTGTTTCTATTGCACAAACTGAGAGTACTCTCCATACCTGGGCCAGCTGATAACTACTCTGCCACCATACTCTGCCACCATACTCTGCCACCATACTCTGCCACCATACTCTGCCACCATACTCTGCCACCATACTCTGCCANTACTCTGCCACCATACTCTGCCACCATACTCTGCCACCATACTCTGCCACCATACTCTGCCACCATACTCTGCCACCATACTCTGCCAGTGCAGGACCAGTTTCAGCATTGTGCGAGTCCACTGATAGGGCTTTTGGCACTGTCATGGGCCAACAGCTGGCACCGCTCCTAAACCCTCATGGTCTTACCCCTTGTACAGCACCTTGGGGGTGTCTTCTACCCATCCTGAGCGAAGGTGATCAAGGACACAAAGGGACTGAACTCATTGAGGTTCCTCAGCCATTGAGCATACGGGCTCATCTTTATCTCAGCGTCTACCTTTCCCCACATATGTCACACTCTGAATGGCCTACAGGGTATACCTAACAAGGACCTTACATGCTTGGACCACAATCAGAACTATGGGATCCAACCTTAATTATGTGGACAGGGTATCATACCTGTTAATTGTGCTACATCAATTGCTAATGGAGATCTCGCTGAAGAGTAATTAACGTTGAGGACCTTGAGGTCCACCTGGAAAAGCTGTGGATTAAAGGGAGTGACCACCTGACCTGCGGTTGCTTTGTTGAGCGCCACCAGCGAGCTCAGCACCTTGCTGAAGTCCTCACCCTGGAGCAGATCGCTGGCATCGAACGCCTGTGGGGGAAGCGAGGGGGCCATGAGCACACGCTGGCACACGATGAGCGTCTCCAAGAGATCGGCTCATTAGCCGTTTACTGAAGTATGCTTCAAATGGAAATAGAGACTAGGAAACGAGTTCTCCCAGAGCAATGTCATTCTGCATCAGTGAGATGGGAGGTTCATTCTGTCATGGAGTGGGAATCACAATTTTCCGCCATCTGGATTTGTCTCGGCTGCTCGTTTGGAATGAAACACAAACTCTCCATCATACACACAGACACAAGGACATAAACAGACACACAAACATACACACGGCATTGCAGCAGAGAGACATTATCCCCACAGAAACACCCACACAAAAGAACCCAGGAAAGACACAAACACACACTCAGAGTTTCAAACCAAGCGAACAGTCAGGATGTTCAGAACTATGAGGCTCCTTCTCCACAGGCAAACAGAAGTTCCACCCCCTGATGCCTCTTCGCCTCCATGTTATGGAAGCTAAACAAAATACAACAGCCATTAGCACCTGTGCAGACAGCACACACATACACACACATACACACACACATTCGTATTCATATCTTTGTGGGGACCGTCCATTCATTTCTATGGGCAAATTCTAATCCTAACAATGACAACCTTAACCCCTACCCAGCCCAAACCTTAACCATAAGTAACCAAACAAAATACAGTGGTACCTTAGAACACGAACTTAATTCAGTCCAGAAGGCTGGTCAAGTTGCGATTTGGTCGATTTCCCGATAAGAAATTAAGTAAATGAATTTAATTAATTAATTTTTTTTTAAAGGCAAATATTTTTTGACAAATGAACAAGGTGATTTCATCAGCTTGTCAGGAGATACAGACGGTCTTCACTGCCCCTGTCATCCAACAGCTCCTACGGCAATAACACAGGGCTGACCTTTCCTAAAGATAGATCTGAACTTTATAAAATCCCCCATAAAACGGAAAAACGACATCTGAGATGCAGTCATACAGCTCCACGAAACAAGGCAGAGATTTCATCGCCTTGTAATCACAGGTATTCGCACAAATGTGGCAGAGAGGGGAAAATGCCATGTATGTCCAATACGTGGACCTGCACAGTGCACACCCAGGGCTGTTTACAGAAACACAGACAATAGGCCAGTTTGGGACACGAGCACAAGGCTGCAACCAGTCGGATCTCGTCTCTTGGATGTGGTGACAGGAAGTTCTAAGTGCTGTGTCTGAATGTGTCTGCATGCGGGACCACAGAGCGAGACAGACATGGAGACTCACTACCTGACTAATTAACCAACCGCTGTTCTGGCCCCAGGAAATTCTCTGCAGCTGTCACTCTTTCTCTTCCCACTCCCTCTGGCATTTCTCAGCTCCATCTCTGACATATCGGTGACAAGCGGCAAACTCTCTCTAACATCATCAATGTTTATCACAGCGACGTCAGTAAGGCTGCAGCCAGAAATCATCCCGACAGAAAAGTCCACTCCGCAAGACAACGGCCATCTTCTCCTCCTCTGGACATGATCACGACGTCCCCTCGAGCACGGTGTGACACAAAAGGACTCAACCAGCAAACGAGCTGCACCTACAAAGAACCTGTTTTTATAGCGCGTCAACCGTGAGAACACTCACTCACCTTAACTAGTCTTCCCAGCATTTAGGGTGGGAGGGGGGTGGTGGTTGCAGCCAATCACAGAACAGAAAAGTTGAAAAGTCGACGAGGAAGCGTCCCTTGGTAATTCTCACAATGGGCAGCCTCACAAAACACACGCGTCAGCCAATGCCGAATCCATCTGCCTGCAGGTCGCAGCGAATGTGGAGGAGAGATTTCCTTCCTGTCTGCGCTCCCCACTTCGGTAACCTAATGCTAATTCTACTGTAGGTTTTTATTTTTTCCAGAGCTAAAAATACTATTTGTCATTTCATCTGGTGTGTCAATCAGGCACTAATTTAAACAGGTTCTGACGCCATCAACGAACAGGGTTGAGTTCAACTATAAATCGCAGACGACTCTCCTCTAATTTCATAATCAGAGAGCAGCACCTGGATAACTGTCTGCTCTGCGCTCCGATCACGTGTCACCCTCACCTCTGTCTGTGTATCAGCATCTTTGTGTATCTGTACTCGTAGGGGTATAAAAGCAAAGCCCTCACCATCACATGACCTCATCGACCTGAAATTGTTAAGTAACAACGAGAGAGGAAACAGAGGCTCTCGAAAGAAGAACAATGCAGGTGTCTGTGGTTCAGTGGGTTAAGATACTGCGTCTGTCCCCAGGTCACTGGTTCAAGTCCTGAGGCTGGCAGAGTGTTGGGCCCTTGAACGAGGCCCCTAACCCTAATTACTCCTGGGACTGTCAGACCATGCGTTCTCAAAAAAAAAAAAAAAAAAAAAAAAAAAGTAATCTTTTCCATTAATATTTCTAATGCAAAGAGGCAAGCAAAATCTTTGAAGTAACCCACAGAATGAACAGAACCCTGGTCTAGTTCCTCACCAGACTACACTGGGCCGAAAAGACTCCTTATCTGGGGCCTTCAGATACCTGTAGCTGACCCCCCCCCCAACCCAACCACTATTAAAACAAAAAATAACTTTGGGGGGATGCAATGTGTAACACAAACACAGAGGCACCCCCCCCCCAATGCCATCCATCACAAACTGCCCCCACCACAAGGACAGCCAGAGCCCCACACCAAGGGCAAAATCTAGACATCTTGGCCAGCATACCCAGAAGCCTTAAATTTGTTGCTATGATACAAGTAGTTTGTTTTTGTTACATCTAACTGACAGCTTGAGTATCGGGTAAACTAAACCAGCTAACCAGCATTACTATCTCACTTCTCATATTTCACAATGGATCAGCTGCTAGATTTCACACCAGGACGCATAAACCTGTCCCTTCACTTTAGCCTTTGCTAGGTTTTTCTCCAGATGAGGGCAAGGCAGCAAGACAGAGCTGAGGACAATCGGCTATTATGGACGCTGGCTCCGTGGGAGGGCGGGCATGTGCGGGAGGTCTGCATTACCGTCTGAAAGTCAGCAGCATCACTTCCAGCTCCCACACACATGCCCAGAAAACACACATTTAATAAAGTTTAGCAAATGTTGATCAAGACCACAACCTCAAGGCAAGACGCTGCCCGATGTAAGTAATCCCAACCTTTGGCAACTGACATTTAGCAACCTTTCCTTAAATCCCACAACCACCACTCCATTGCCTAATGTCATTTTTTTATAAAATGACTCATTATACGTAGCTGAAATGATTTACCACAAAAGCCGTCGTTTAGTCAATTCAGACATCTACAGTAAACGAGTGCGATCGACCTACGGGCACCGACGAAAACACAATAAGCTGCACTGATACATTAAGCTTTTTTTAATTAACGTGGATAAAGATTTGGAAAACTGTATGTATAAACCTGCCAGACGAAGGCAGACGAAATAATAAGCCTTTGCTAACGATGTCACCACGAAATACAAACACGCTGTATAGACTATAGTCCATTTCTGTTGTGTATTTCTCACAAGACTTCAGAAATGCAGTCGACATGAGGAAAATTGCCGAAATGCACAGCCCATTTCATGTTGCCTATTTCCTCCGGGAGAATGAGTTATTCTTCTCGTTTCAGGGATCTCCCACCCACGCAAAAAAGGCTGATCGAGCCCTATCCATGCCTTTACTGGTAACCACACAGCACGGATTGTGCAACACGTCAGGGTTGGTAAATAATCTGCTTTTCGTATAAATCGCCTGAATGCACGCCTGCAAAACAATGAAATCAAACCGGAGCCTACCTCCACGCGGAATATCTCGCAGCCTTTGAGGAACTCGGTAATGTTGCTCAGGCGCTCGCCGTGGTTCCTGGGTTCCTGGTAGATCTAAATGGGATAAAAACGGAATTTTACGGAAGCCGATCGCGATTCCCTGTTACTGCAGCCCGTGTCTGATTGCAGGCGAACACATCATAGGCCACGCCAACAGATACCCGAGCGTGTAGCTGAATTTCAAGACAGATGACATCTGTGCAAATAAAGATCTTTCTTCTCATCAGGAAGTGAGTCCAGCAGAAGAGGAAATGACGTCCAGTGATGTTATTCCAAAAAAAAAGGAAAAGAGGCATGGATAATAGGCTAAATGCAAGCGAGTGCGAGTAGTTTTGTCATTTCACAAAATTCAAGTATAGATGATGGATATTCCGTATTTTAAATATTAAATATGTTACAAAGCAGAGAGCACGGGCACACACGGTGTTTCCAGTCAGTTATCCCTTGGAAGTGTCTTACACAGCTGCGTATGGATAAAGATATGAACCCGCTGTGGATCCAGCTGTTTCAGGCCGGATTATAGGTGGATTACATAAATAAACGGGCCATTATTTTCATGCTTACCCCGCAACATCTGAAAAATTGGGCTGCTATATATCGATGACAAATTTATGTCCATTTTCATAACGTCGATATCAACGTACGTGTATGATAAGATTTGGCGTCCTATGAAGCCTGACAGATTTGCAAGTTAGATATGACATACAGTCTTTACATGATCTAGGATTTATCCTAACACTTTAGTCATATGAATAAAGTGATTTCTGATCCCTACTCCCATATAGCATCCTTTTAAGGCTTTATGTAGGCTACTGTTAAGTCATAATGTTATGAGCTACTCTGAGGAAAAAGTTCGTGTATATATACATGGGCGACATATATCCATACATACATATACACGCACATCAGACTCTTTCATCAGAATATAACACGTAGGCCTACGTGTAACATGAAATACGGAATCAATCAAAATTATTACAGCTAAAACGTCCAGAATATATGTGAACTGCATTTAAAAAAATTACACAAAATACGGACATTTAGTGCGAATAAAGCATTATCCTATATGATCCAGAGAATAGCGCGTCATTGCATGATGATATCTCATTACATGTGGGGAAATGATCGTCACATCTGCCCCCCCCCCCCCCCCAAAAAAAAAAAAACATAATTAACATGCTAGACGGCGTTAATTAGCTAATGTCGGCGCGCTGTAGTTTGCCAGGACTGTCAGCACAACTATACCCAGTGAAGTGCGTCTTATTACTCGGCACAAATAACAAGGTCGTGCGCCGTACAATCGCATTAGAGACTGCGCCGCCGCTGTAGATGCGCAGGGGGGCGTCCTTTCTGCGTGCAGCCAATGGCGGCCCCTTAATTCGCCTATATAGGCTAGTGTGCACCGCTGAAAAACAGCAGTCAAGACCTGTTTATATATATACATATATAATATCACTTGTTCTTTCACCGCTTTCACCTCACAGAGTTAAATGTATTTCAAGAAGTTCAGTCCTACGAAATAGGCTACTGTAGGGTGTAAAATATGTTTAGGAATTACATTTGTAAATAACTAACCATTCCAGGATAAGAAAATAGGCAAAGCCATTAACCAAGTACGAACGTGCATTTGTTTATTTCATGTCTATTTAATGCTGAAGCAAACGAAATAAGTATTCACTCGCCGGGTGTCCTCATCATTGACGCGCGTTTTACAGTTAATGTATAATACGGTACATTGGCCAAGATGAGTAAATACACTATTATTTTCCGAATGTAACATCACGTTATACAGTGTGACCCGTTTTAAATAACGCTGGAATGGTGTGCCGCGTATCGGCCTCTGGAAGAATAAAGCACAATACAGGCAGGCAGGGTGCGCGGAGGACGGGGCTAAATGGAAACGCACTTACTTTGTCGACAGAACCAGGGCGCAGTCTTTCCAGCAGCTTACACAAAACCACCCCGTCTTTCAGCGACGACTGCAAAAACCCTTCTGGGTCCGAGATGGTCTTTTTCGGCGACTCCAGAACCCCCAGCGTTATGAGCCACGTTACTGTCTGTTCTGCCGAATTCATGGCCACATGTACGGTACAGATCTAGCAATGGGTTGCCAATTAAAATACTAATAATAGTGATAATAAAAAGGAGCGCACTGCCGCTACATTTAATACATTGCCTTACTGTAGAGCGGCGACGTTGTTGTGGAATTGGAGGGATAAACCGCCAATATCCCCTTCGCGCGAATGACGATTTGCTTTTGGAAATCCAGCCGGTCTAGTTTCTATCCCGTTTTTTTCTCTCTCCCCCTGGCAAGCTGTCAAATGCCTTTCTGTTACACACTCAACCTGCACCGACGGCCACGAGATCTTCCGGCAGATGACATCACGGGCGTTGAAAAGCCTAGCGGACGCTTACATTTGCTTCCCTTCCCGGAGTGGATAATTTGCTTTTCACCGGCATACTTTTACATGCTTATTTGCATGATGCATCGGTTTTGACTAAGAGGGATGCAACAGCACCAACTGCCAGCGTGCACTATACGTAGAGCTACCGCATCAGTGTGTGACAGCTTTCCCATTAGCGCCAAGTCGCAAAAGTGCGGCCCGAATGCGGAGAAAGGAGCACCGGCGAGATCAGATTGATTGAAAAGGGTTAACAGCATTATAGAGTTTCATTTTCTTATGTCAACAGATGAATTACAGCTGAACCTAGCGCGTCGAGATCAGGTCAGTAGTTTTGTCTGCTGCCTTAGGAACAAGACATGGATAACTGTCAAGGAATGGAAAAGTGTACTGTAAATTCATTAATTTATATAGCGCAGTATGGCAGCAAAATTAAAGCCGTGATTTCGTCAATGAAAGCAGACGCTTTTGAACAATGTCACTTTTTCTCGTCAATATTATGTCGAGGTCAGTAACTGGCGCGCTTGCATTTCCACCCATACTCAGAAGATGGCATCCACAAAACGCTCACCCCCACCCTGCCGTCACCCCTACCTGAGTTAACCTGACTTTCGTCTGACACAAATGAAAAAGTCCCTGAAATCGTCAGGCCTGGATCTACGCATTCTGTATTCAACAAACGCACCTTCATTTCTATTAATTTTGCAGCCATCAGGGGATTATACAAGCATGCAGAATAAAGAAACACATCATGCAAACACAATGCCGTGTTGCTGTCCTATGACATATAAACCTCAGGTTATGTGTGACACGTTAAGGCATGTTTATAAGTGAAAAATAATATTCATTTTACGTCACACAGCGTTGTCTTCATTGATAATATGAGCTGAACCGCATGTTGTTCAAAACTTCCTTTTTTCGAATTAGCTACACAGGCAGTGCATGGCTCAGTAGGTCTGAGTATTGTGGTCGGAAGGTGACTGGTTCAAATACCTGGGTCTTTTGAGGGATTTCACAACTGGACCCTTGAGCAAGGCCATTAACCCCCATTTACTGATACTGCTTCCTCAAAAAAAAAACGTACGTCGCTTTGGATAAAAACGTCTGCTAAATATAATATCCAATAGCGCCTATCAGTAAATAAAAACCTTGAGAATCAGACTCTGGGTCTCGGTCCTACGCAGAGCTCAGGGACATCGCGCCATCTGCCGGTAAACATAAAAACGACAGCACTCACATACATTTATCTACTAGAATTATGTTCGATTTCATTTTGCCTGAAATATTCAATTACATGTTTTATAAGCAGATTTACAAAATCACATGAAATATTATGTTTGCTATTCTTTTCCCGTTTCATGACTTCATTTTATACCACGCACGTTCTCCCATGTCGCGTGGGACTCCTCCCCTAATCAAAAACAATGCGCTTCGAGTAGATGGCGTCTCTGAATGGCCTATAGGCCTCGGGAGCGCGTGTTTGTTACCGCTACCAGATTTTCCTTCCCCTGGATTGTCCGGATAAAGGCTCAAGCTAAACGACATAAACTTCATGCAATACACATTGGTCCATTTCATTCTTTTATTTCTTTATTCCATTATTGCTGATTGATGTCAAAGGCCGGAGCCAGCTGTTTCTGTGTTAGTGGTAGAATAGGGTGAACCAGAACTAAATAAAAGGGAGAGAAAAGACCTACAGATATGTGTGTTAATGGTTTAGAGTAACGTGTGAAGGTAAATAGCCGGGACAGCATGAGCTACTGAAAGACTCCGGCAAGGAGACCCACAGGTGAATAAAGTTATACAAATAAACTAGTTATATAGAGAAATAGCTCATAGTTTATTTTTGTGACTGCACAATTGTGAGATGGTATCAGGGTGGGGTTGTGTAGAAGGCGTGATCCAGTCAGGTAGTAAATCTCCAGTCTTCACCAGGCGGAGTAACGTGCACTAGGAGAGTATGAGAATACATCATGCGGCGGAGCGCCGTGACAGATGCGCGGCGCGGCAGTTTCAATTCTATAAGAGCTTTTACTTCTGCAGTATTTCTACATAATAGCTCAGCGATAAATACAAGGCAGGACTAGCCATGTGACTTCAGGTGCGCTGTCATTAACGCGGTGATGCGTGCAGCTCACACCGGCCGAGTTTTATTAGAGAAGCGTAAATTAACGTCGGCCAAAGCTCTCCGGTTCCCTTTGTTCTCTTTCCTTCCAGGGTTAACAGAGGACAAAGAGATAATCAGATGGGACCGCTGCCTGTTACAAACCCACTTAAATCAGCCGCTATCATGTCGCGGAGAGGGCTATGATAGTTTGATGGCGAACGGCAGTTAAAATAAAAACACACACGGGGATTACGGACATTTCAGTGTGAGGATCGGCATTAGTCATTTTAAATTCTTTTGTGTTATTCACTAGGCTAGCTGAGTGGCTATGGAACAGCAGTGGATGAAGCTGATCCTGGGGGCATCAGCTTCCCAGATGTGGGGCAGAAGTGCTGATACTGTCATCTAGCGCTCTCTACAGACAGCAACCTGACTTTATTATGGTCTAGCACAATTACCAAACAACCCAAACGACTTCAATGCTCTTGCGAAAGTGAGATGGTACTTTGGGTATCGCTTGTGCTTTGAGAGTCTGATTGTGGCTGACTGTAGTGCTGTCAGACTCGTTCAAAGGATAAATCACTGCTCAGCGACAGAAGGACAATGGGCTGGTCAAACACTATGGACACTGCAAACGGGAGAACGCAGAAGATCCCTCAGCACACCTGGAGGAATCCGGAATCCCAGCGGGTCACCATGGAGACCGGTGGAATCTCCAGAGCTGCAGGAGTGACAGAGCAGGCGGAGATCTCTGTCCCTAACAGGCCTAGCGGGAGCAGCGCTGTCCTCCCTCTGGTCACATTGCTGCGGGCTGTTTCCATGGGTGCCACTGCTGGGATCATGAACTCCCACAAGCAGGAAGTGGCACAACATCTAGGAGGGTTTCGGCTGTGCTGAGCTGAAGCCTTTCTATGATGATATCAGTAGCTAAGGATGAAATGGTGAGAAATGAGAAGATATTCTTTAAATAAGAAGTTTAGTCTGCACCAAGGGGGAAACTCAACACCTAAGAGACCACTCTATATTTTTAAACATATCTCCTAGAAGCAGGACTGAAGTCCCATGAAGCAAGGAAGAAGCCCTTCATTAATGAGAAGCAAGGAAGAGCCAGGCTGCAGTTAGCAAAACACAGATGCACATCTATATATTGAGAAATGAGTGAAACAAAAAAAAATTGTCCTGTGGCCTTTTCAATTTTTTCAGAGCTGTAACTCATCTCTGTACATTTTATAATGGTTTCTGAAGTTTGGGCATTGCTGTCACATAACGTTTCGTACATAATGATCCATGCCCACTGGAGCATTCTCATGCGTGCCAAGTGTTTGTTCTCTGCGATCAGATCAGTCCATGCATTTCACTGACTCATAGAGAAGAAAAAAACTGCCCCAGACCTGCTCTTTCACAGGGACCGTGCTCTCAAAATGAGCATGATAGGTGACCGGACGACTTGTGCCCAGTGACCGGACTGAGGTGGCACATTCAGGGAGACCCAGGCCAAGCAGGGCTGTCTCTCCTCTGTCCGCAGCCTATCAGTGTCAGGCTCATTGGGTTATTCCAATCATCACGCCTGTTAAACGATGCACAGTCTGGGCTCTGAAATTAGTCTGCAGAGAATCTGGTGAGCCATTTGGTGTTGTCTTGTAAATTTTACACCTCGATAAAAATGACAAAACAGGGATTTTTCTAAGATATACGCCCAGCCGATGTACTTGTCCCTACATACAGTGTTTTTTTTTGCAGGATACAATCAGATAAACTGAACAAAATGAGAAGCCCAGATGAATAAGTGACTCTTTCTCCCCACGTGGCCTGTCATCTGGGGGCTGCGTTGCAGTGACTCCCCCCCTTTCTTCTTGCGTCAGCATGGGAGCCGCCAGGGGCCTGCGGAGGTGAAAAACGACGCGGGCTGGGGGCCGCGCTCTTCCTGTGCCTGAATTATGGCGTACGGGGACAGCAAACCCCGCAAAAGTGTCCCTGCGGCTAACCCACGTAACAAAACCCACCCACTCCCCTCACCCAGCCTGAACCCACGCCATTCTTTCAGCCCTGATTCCCTCCCTATGGTCAGGCCCAATAAAATCAGATTCATGGGTATTTCCGGCACTATGAAGCAATCAGCGCTGAGGGCCAACAGAGCACGTCTTCCCTACCACTCCATAAAGGATGGGGGATACCGCAACGGAAGGGGGAAGGAAGCTGGAGAGAACGCAGCACAGCAAACAATCATGCAACAGTGTGGAGACTGTTGCCATGTGTGTGTGTGTGGGGGGGGGGGACCCATACAAATGGCTATAAACACACCCTGTCCCTTGTGCCCCAGATACTGCACCTCGAACGGCAAGAGCAGAACCACACATTTGCCAGCCGAACGCCCGGATCACACCCAATGGGACTGTGTTCCACTCCTGAGGGACCCTGGCGAAGAAGAGATGGAAGAAGGACAGGAGGATGTGGTATCCTGGAGCAACAAGCTGTCTCCACGGCCAAGCTCGACCGGCTGCACCTCCAGAACCAAGAAATGAATATTGACTTGAATTCAAGACTCACCTGAATATCAATTCCAATAAAAAAAAATCTAAGTGTAAAATGGCCACATTTGGCATGTATTATATTACAATAACTTGCTATCCAGCCTGCTTCGGTTATTAACAGGGTCATGTTGATGACACCCTGCTGGCATTTAACAATATTTAATTTGCTTTTTCACTTTTGACCGAAAAAGCGTGAAAGTACTGCAGGACAGCCTCAGCCCGCGGTTAATTAGCATAATGCATGACAAAAGGCAACTTTGAGTGTGACTATCTGTGTGAAAAATGATCCTTTACACAGTGACACAGCTGCATGTTCTGTGAAATGCTCTGATTAAAAACACAACACAAGCCCCCCCTCCTGGAACTTGAACTTTCAACCTCTTTGGTCCCAAGCTCCCTGCTTACCCAACCCCCACATCTCTGTCTGACATTGCTGCTCTTTATGCCTCGAGGTGTTACTTCTGTTGTGTGGAAGTCCCCCCCCCCCCCATAAACATTACAGCTCACAAAACACAATTTATTGGGTCTGTAAAATGCCGTTTATGAGCAAAGGAGTAGAGAAAATGTCTGTCAAACGTTCAAGGTTATCAGTACAGCGAGTAAAACTCCAGCATAATTCATAGAGACCCCTTTCTAGCCTCACCTGTTATACATCAGAAGATAAATGGCTGGGTATTTTTTGAGATGTCTCAGTCTGCTTCCCTCCCACCGCCAATAAAGGAGACCTGGAAATCTCTCTCTCTCTCTCTCTTTGACGGGAAATAGAAGAGAAACACATTTAGAGAAAATATGGACTCTCGCCTAGTTTAGCCGAAGGATTTACGTCCGCGCCGTCTTTCGGAGCGGCAGAGCTGCGCTTTCCGTCCCCCGCGGGCCGCGTGGGCGTTCCGCCGTCCCCTCCGTTACGTGCCACCGGCAGCCTGCGGCAGAGCGCCGTCCCACAAGGCGCGACATCCACTCACCCAGTGGGACAGTGTAGCAAATTCATTACACCGCAAAAGCAGACGTGTGACCTGTTTTTGTTTTGTTACTCTTGTTTGTGCTCGATCTTTCGTGTCCACAAAGATTTAGGGTTAATTTTATTTATTATGTCACATAATGTTTTTTTCCACTTGAGTGATATAGTTGATGAAGATCAGTGTATTAAATGTTTTTGAATTTACAAGGCAGAGATACAGGCTAGTCAGTAGGGATGATTCGCTTAGTCTAAACAGTGGGCCTAAATACGATAATTATGTTTGCAAAACAGATTGTGGAATATTTGCATTTTATTAAACAGTCATATCTAATTTAACATGCGTTGAGCTTTGATCAGTTGTAGCCTATCTTTACAGTCATATTTATGTCACTTACTCGACAGCGCCGTGTTAAGTTATAGTCTACCGGTGTTCGCCCATCACGCCGATGGCTCTCCCCTCCTCGCAACTCCGCTGGAGTTGATCACGCCGGGCGCCGACCATGTCCCTGTTCGCTTCGGAGCAAATTCCCCAAACAGCCTTGTTTACCGAGCGACGCCTCCCGGTGCGCGGAGCCGGAGCTGCACCTTCGCCGAGATGGACCTCGGAGCCGGGAGGTGAGAGGAGCCGCGCCGACGATGATCGGGATCGGAAGCAAACTTCTCAGCGTCTGTCTGATGGTTCGTTTCGCGGCTGAGGTGAGAGATCCTGGTATGCGGACCGGTCACCGCTGCGTCCTTAGCAATTTCCTATCTAACGCTGTCTTTAATGCATATTACCATTTAACTTGTAAACAGATTGTTGTTAATCACTATTTTAAACAAGTCATTGATGCTGCAGGAAATAATTTAAAAATATATTTGTTAATGGTGTAAGGTGTGTTTGTATGTGTATCTACGCGCTATAACGGTAGAAAGGATCTGAAACACGGCTGTTGTTGTGGATCTTGCGGCTTAACGGCTTCCTGTCTGAACCGATCTCTTCTTTTTAGTTTTGAGACTACATAAGTGCCGAAAATAACCCGCTACGCGACGTGAGACAGAAAAAATGACTCGACTGCAAACTTATAAAACAGAAAATGCTGTTGCAGAATAGATATGGTGTGCGATGTTGCAGGAAAGTCTTTTTAGGGGGATGGATAAAGGCACAGGGTAAAGTTGGAGAATGTCTGTCCTGAAGGTGAATTCGTGTGAGAGGTAGGAGCGTCGTGTGTCCGCGCGTCTTGTCCTTCGCTGCAGCCTTGACGTGACTTTTTAAGGCTCGTTGACAAGTAAGCAGCCTGTTAGTATTAGAGACGAGTTTATAGCGGACTGATGGGTGAGGTGTGAGGAAAAATTACCATCCTGCCCAGTTTGCGTCAGCGGTGATGGTTTGGAAATAATCCAACGCCAACTTCCTTTCACATACGGGCCCCCGCAAGACCATAGAAAACAGTTGGTTTTGAGGTACACAGTACTGCACCTGCAGCCGCAGATGGGAGGCTGCTGTCAGATAGGTGAGTTCTTACCGGCTGCGGGTCGGTACTTGTTTTTTTTTTTTTTTATAAAAGTATAATATTAACAACTGAAAAACTCGAGCATTTGTTACATAGGCAGTCAGTGGCCCTTTCCTGTTCCTTATTCTCCTGCTTCCCAATCATAGTCTGGGGCCTTTAGAGTTTCCATGACGGTGTTGCCACTCGAGATAAAGTGTGTGTGCATGTGCTGACTTTGACAGTCACACCCTTTCTTCCATTCGCTGCTCCTTTATACTATTGATGCAGTTTGCTGTAGTGTGTGATACTTACTGTACTCAACTCATCGCAACTCAACTCAAACTTTATTTGTAGAGCACATTTCCAGACATGAAGGTGACACAAAAGTGCTTTCCAGGAAAAATAAAAACACACAAAAATACAAAACAACCATATAAAACTACTTAGCAAAAAGTCACAGATAACAGGTGGGTTTTAAGCTTAGTCTCAAAGGCTAATATGGAGGCAGAGCCATCATGCGACGGTGGCTTGTTCCATAGCTGCTGCCAAAGCACAACCCACCTTATCCTCAGCCTGGACCGGGGGAGACGCTAGGAGCAACTAGCCAGATGATCTAAGAGAGCATGATGGAGAAAGGAAGTGAAGAAGGTCACCAGCTATGATGGACCAGCCCGTGCAAGGCTTTGAACACCATCAGCAAAATCTTGTGTCAATCCTATATCTAACAGGTTGCCAGTACAGAGAGGCCAGGGTAACAGTAATATGATAATGTCTCGGTGTCTTAGTTAAAAACCTGGCAACCGAGTGTTGCACACACTGGAGGCGTGACGGAAGAGACTGGTTAATTCTGAGATGCAGCGAATTATAGTACACGAGTCTGGAGGTCACAAATGCAGGAATAACCTTACTACTATTGTAGTGTCAATGGTTATTAACGGATCAGGAGCCCGTATCATGAAGCTGGATTTTTGCGTTGGCAAGATAACTTGTTGAATTTAAGGTAGTCTGTAAAAAAATGTAAATGAAAGATGATAAAGTCCATTTAAGCTGGAGTACCTTAACACCAACAAGCTACCTAGTTAACCAACAAATCTCGCTCCGTGATGCAGGCCCCAGGATAAATGAAGAGTTATAATAAGTTATAAATGCACGGTGACAATATTCCTTTATGTGGAACCACTGAAATGAGCTGAACCGTTTGCTGTATATAAACTGGCAAGAAGAAGCACATCAGATCACTAAGTAAAGAGGCCACATAACAACATATGTGACAAATGGACCGAAAAAATACTTCAGCACAAAAGCTGGAGCTGCACTCTGCCCTGTGGTGCTGCTAACTGCAGCTTCAGACCAATCCTTCTACTTTGAAGTAGTAAAGCAGAGAAATTGTAGTTAGTAAAACTACTTCTGAGGACGCTGCCGCATTGCCAGGCCTAATTGGAAACAGACGCAAGCATTTGTGTGTGTGTGTGTGTGTGTGTGTGAGTGTATGTATGTGCGCACTTGTAGGGTAAACATATCCTTATGGGGACCGCTCATTCATTTCAATGGGAAAAATGCTAACGCTAACTATGACAACCTTAACCCCTACTCTGCCCTAACCTTAACCATAAGTAACCAAACAAAATACAAGAGTTTTTGCATTTTTAGTTTTTTCATAGCAGTCACCGATTTTTATAAAATAGAGTTTTCCCTTATGGGGACCAGGAAACCGGTTCCCATAAGGGAAAAAAAACAGATATTTATCACGTTATGGGGACATTGTGTCCCCATAAGGATAGGTAAACCCACTCGTCTGTGTGTGTGTGTGTGTGTCCACATCGTTAAAAGTCTCTTCAGGCTCCAGTGAGTATATTGCAGCGGTAGCTTCATAAAAACTGCAAGATTTAAAATACACATTATATTTATGTGTCTTGTTCTGTTGTTGGAAAAATGCAACCATGTGCAGGGCAGGCCTGCAGATGCATGTAGAGCACTGTGGTTTTGTCTCTCGACGGGTGTGTCGGTGTCTCCGTGTGAGCAGGCGAGCTTGTGAGGGTGCGTGTGCGTGCACCTCTGCGGTCGTCTCCGTTCCACTGCGGACCGAGCCGACTGACTGTCTGCTCACGTTTAAAGGGTGACAGGAAGCCAGCACAGTAACCTGTTAAACCATCTCACACTCACCCTGTCTGTCCAAATGCCTTTTCAAAAAATGCCTCGGTCTGCAGACCCCCTGTAAGACCCGGCCCCCCAAACAAAGCCAGCGTCGGGTTGTCTTAATGATGCCAGTCGTATTTGCCTCTTCACACAGAGCCGGGGAAGGGCTGAGGAGAGCTGTGGAGAAGACTTACTGAGGGTAAGGCCCAAATGTTCTCACAGCGTTACGCTAAAATTGTGACCAGGACTTGTTTAAGCGTCTGGGGCGGCCAGTTCTTCTAATAACCACCACTGGGTCAGAAAGAGACAGTTTAGGTTGGACAGTAGAAGTATGGATGTATGGTTACCCTAGCAGATTCATGGGGGGGCAGCATCTTACAGGGGGCCATTAATATGAAAAATTATATGTATGATTGAGCATGGGGTGGGAAGAATGGACATGCTGGATATGGCGGAAGGGAAGGAGGGAGTATGGGAGAAACGGAGAAAGAAGGTAAACCATCACTGCCAACGGGTGTGTGTCTACGCCATGGAGGGGCAACAAGGGCGAGAGAGAGAGAGAGAGCAGCATGTCCACCTTGGGAGGCTTGTTGTTCAGAGGGTGGAGAGGAGAGAGGGATGAGGTGAAATCCTCTGTGACTGAATGAAGGAAAGATAATGAAGGTGGAGGGAGCAGCTGTAGAGGGGGGGGGGGTTTGCTGAGGGAGGAGTGTTTATGTGACGGGAGGGAGACGGGGGTGTGCGCATACATGTGTGTGTGTCTGAGGCATTCCAGGGGGCTGGGCTGGGGGGCGCGATATCATCAGAGCCATCCCACCCTGTGACAGGAGGAAGCTGCACAGGTCAGCGCAGTGCAGATACCCAGCCTTCCACAAAACGGCACAGACACAGCACAGCACCGGGGGAAGGCTGCTGTGAAGGACGTCCGAGCAGCCGTTCCTCAGCCGGGTCTCAGAGGCAGGAGCTCAGAGCTTCTCTGGGCCTCCTTTGCTATCGCACATTCAGCGCCGGTCCTCGTCTTGTTCAGGACAGGGACCGCATGACCTCTGATAATTTTGTAGGTCATACACATCTACGCCTTTCCCCCTCCCCATGCACACCTGGTGGACGCACTACCTGAAGAGCAAAATGAAGGGGGTGCAGCATATTCACGGTTACAGGCAGGTCTCCCCCTAACCGCTCCAGCTGGCAGTGGGCCCACGTCTGCCATACCTCTCTCCATCTTGCCTATCGTCGCTAGACAGTGAAAAACATGCCCCTCCAAAAATCCATTATATTAGGAGCATGAAGAAATACATTTTCTCCAGAACTACTTTACATAAATCAAAAACAACGTAATGAGACTCCCTTAGCACCGCAAATAGAACCCTATCTTGACACAGCCGTCACCGAACGGTTTAATGTCTTAAATGGACTTACGTGGATTGTTGTCAGTGAGGCAAATATGTCAGTGCCTGCAAAACAGAAACTAATCTCGCTATATATTTCTAAGTAACAATGACGTTAGTTAGCTAGCTATCTAGCTATCAATATTAAATTGTTAAAATCTGCAATGTGAAGTAATCCAACTGGTTCAAACATAAATACTAATTAAATGGATGCCTTCATACAGCATCTTTTTATTGGTCAATTTCATGTCAGATGTTGTCAGTAGACAGAATGGGTTTATTCCCTCAATAGTAAAAGGTCATCTGACACTGAACACATACAGGTTTCTGATTAACTTCATTACTTTACATGCCAGATGGCTTTAACAACAGCGTCTGAGAATTCTGAATATTTGTGTTATACATTTTTGTGAATATTAATACAGTCTTCCAAGGCTTTCCAGACATTATTCCAATTTTTCCCCAGAAAACACTTAGAGAGAGCACTACGTCAACACCCTGATGTGCAGGGAGAGTGTTGCCCTGCCCATGACCCTTGACCCCTAATGGCCACATCCTCCCACACAGGAAATGACCCACTCCTGGCCCCTGCCTTTCTCCTCCCTGCAGTCCTCAGGTGGAAGGGAGCCCCACAGCCAAATCCCCTATAGCTCCCAGGTGTGTTAACCCTCTGCGAGTCAACGGTTGGTCTTCTACAGCTGGACGTTATTAGATACACAGAGCCTACTGTCCAGCAACCAGCACTGCTTAAGTTCATATCACCCTGCTCTACACACAGCCGACTGACCTTGTTCAATTTTACGCTGCAATAGCTGACTGGTAACAATTAGACCCCCCACCCCCATAAAACGTAACCCGGGAAGGGGACTGGGAGGGCAAAGCTTAGATGTTTATGACCAAAATGCCAGTAATCACCTCAAGGAACAAACTAAAGTCAAAGGTGACCATTTTATTTGCTGTTGGTTGAGTTCAGGATTAGTTTGAATTAGACCCCTGAAACTCTACCCACATGGTCTGGGCACTATAAGAGGAGGCCCCCACCCCCAACCCCACCCCCTCCCGGCTGCTATTTTTATCCAAGTAGCTACTGCATCTTGGCTGGTGTATGTGATCTATTCCATGAGTAGTGAATTTGCTACTCCTCTCCCTTCCAGCAGACAAAACATCATGGCTCCCTACACAGGCACTGTGAGTATCTCCATCGCCGATCCGTGCCGGATCCTTGTCACCCGGCCGTGAGGCCCGGGGGGGGGGGGGGTGGAGGCCCGTGACTCCCGGGTTTGACTGCTCTCCCTCCTCTCTCCTTATCTCTCAGCCCCCGCAGTCAGGACAGACAGTCATGCCAGGATGACTGTCCCTCTCACAGCGCCTCACAAGTCGTAAGTGGGCCTCTCGCTCGCCCCGAGTTCCAGAGAACGAGGCCCCTCCTCCATGGAGTGCAGTGACAAACACACACTGATACACACGACGCATGTTCAGGGACACCCTGCTTTAGGGCCATGGGACATCTGACTATACTGTTGGACCTTCAAACAGAGTACTTGACCTGGTATTTTTCATTCTAAATAAAGGAATCAGCATTTATCTCCCCCCCCCCCGGTTGAGCCAGCAGTGAAATAGCCTGGAATTTCACACGGACCTGTTTCTGTGTAGTGTCAGTCTGGGTGAGCATAACTCAGCAGTGTGCTTGGATTCTGTGCACCAGTCACACCAACCCACACTGCGGTAAACAGGGAAAAAAATGAAACTACCATTGCTAGAAGATGCACATCTGTAAAGACCGAAATTTGACTGGAATAACAATGTCGCCCGAATGCAGATGTTACAGTCGAGTGAGAATCAAGCTGTTCTTCTGTCCCTCTGAAGCAACATCTTGAGTTTCGTAACTATATAAAAACAATGTTGAGCGTCAGAGAGATACGGGGAGGAAATCCCCCCCTTTCATGACAACCCTGATGGTCCTGCCTGGTGTGAGGCCTGGATTGGTCAACAGATCCAGTCATGTGACCCGGATCGCTATGACACAGCCACAGCAGGCAGCCACAGAGTGGGGCAAGAGAGTTACGACCCCGACAGCTTTACTGCTGCAGCCGAAAGTCTGGAAACGGCTCAGAAGAGGCTGCTTTTCCCACCCACCTGATTAACTAACCGCAGTTTACAGGCTGTCATTTGATTAAGAGAGAAATGAAAACGCCGTCAGACAGTGGGCGGAGAAAGTGCCTAAGCCATGCTTTTGTCCTCTGAGTGGGGGAGGAAGTCATAAAGGTCTCCATTTTTTTTTTTTTTTGTGTGCCTAACTGTAACCGCTAAAATGCATTAATTCATGTTCCTGGAGGAACATGCTGTTGCACCTTATAAGTGAATTAAGGCTTTTCCTGACAAGGCAGAATATCAGCAATTTACATTAGATTTATACATTAGCAGATGCTTTTACCCAAAGCTTGGAGGTAATAAGCAGCTGTGGGCAGCAGCTGGGGATAAGGGCCTTGCTCAAGGGCCCCTCTGCAATATTATTACTCTGCCGGGGGATTTCAACCCACAACCTTCTGGACATGAACACAGAATTCTAACTTACATAGCTATACACTGCCCCTTCACCAGTCATTTACCAGCAACTCTTCAGTAGGTTACAAGTAACCAGTTATCACTTTAATAAACATAATAGCTAGTAGCTGTAGTAATGGGTTAAGTACTGGAAACTAACAAAGAATGTGTAATAATGTGCACCCCCCCATCCCCCCGTCCAGGATGCTGGAGGACGACCTGAGGCTAAGCAGTGATGAAGATGAAGCCACCACGGTAAGCAGAGCCCGAAGCGGCGGCCGGCATGGCGGGACCACCACCCACACGCTCATCCATGCTGTTCTCCCAGAAAGCATTTCGGAGAATGAGTGGGGGATTGAAACATAGTGTGGGACCCAGCTGGGTGGACAGTGCAGTCGACGGCTAGGAGCTGTCGCCTCTGACCCGACCTGACTCGCTGTCTGTATCTCCCCCCCCCACCCCCCCATCTGAGGCCGTCATGTCAGGGAGGGCGAGATGTGGCCGGGTGTGGCTGTAACATGGCTGCCGGCAGGCT